AATATGGTTCCTGGGGTCACGAAGAGTCAGACACGACTTAACAACTAAACAACAACAACAGTGTTGTTCAAACTTGGCCAGTTTAAGATGGGTGGACTTGGCTGGCTGGGGAATTCTGGGAGTTGGAGTCCACCCATCTTAAACTGGCCAAGTTTGAACAACACTGCATTAGAGCTACTGCAAGCATTTTTTGTTTTAAGCCAAAGTATATCTATTCTCATAGGAACAAGAGGCAGCACATAGCTTACTTTGGCTGAGCTTGAAAAGCTAAGCAGGGACAGACTTGTTTGGTACTGGGATGGGAGACCACCCAGGCTACCTTTAGAAGTGGAAAAATATCTCAGAAGAAGACTATGGCAAACTACTTCAAACTGTTGTCAAGAGAACTATATGGCTGACCTTATCATTATATAGTAGCAGGAGTTGCCAAGTGACCTGGAAGCAGCCTTCCAAAATACTTTTGGGCCTTCAAGTAAGTCAAGCCTGTTCAGGACTGTAGATGAAGCTGTTGAAGACTCAGCAGCAGGTCATGCAAAAAAAGAGAGAGAAAAATAGCAATTCAATCAGCAGGACCTTGTCTGATTCTTTGAAGACAAAATGAATGTACTGTGTCTACAGCTTCTGGCTCCCTGCAAAAACTCTCTCCAAATTCAGCGAGGAACCTTATACTCGTAGTCTTCCAAAAAGACGCCTGTGCATTTAAATCTTCATTTATTTGAACCCTTTTTTTAAAGTGGAGACTTACATACCACCATTGCACACACAATCCTTATGCAGAAAGTGAAGGCACAATTTTGCTTAACTGATCTTTTTCCCCTCCTCAGAACGACGGCTATATAAAACCAAACTCTTTGTTGCTGGGGGAAACAGCAGCAGGGGGAAAATTCTGCTTTCATAGCAACTTGCAAGATGATGTCCTGAAAGCAGCGGGGAGCGACCGGCCACCCCAGGCCACGGGTTGGGAAGTCCGTCTTTCATGCTCTTGTTCAGTTTTTTGATAAAAAGTTAGCAATCGATTCTCCGTAGAGGAGGAATGCCCTTCAGTTTAGAAGATGTTGTCAGCAAACAATAGCAGAATAATCTTGATTTCCATGTTTGGCTTGTGAGGCTTCCAGAGGTACCTGATTATCTATTGTGGAAAATACAACCTTCAAGTGATAATGCTGCTGGATTAACAATTAACATTAGATTAGATTAGATGATTAGATTAGATTCGCTGTTAATGCTAATAATAAGTCCTGTCCTTAATTGTGAAATTTCATTAATGGCTTTTTTGTACTATACGTCTGTACTGCACAATGAAGCTTTTAACCTGAGAGTTAACTCCTTGGAATATAAATAATAAAAACTGTATGCATGCATGCACACGTGCATGTGTATGTATGTATGCATGCATACATGTGTGTACCTTGGGATGTGATAGTCAATGAGGGACAGCATGCCTACATTCCACCAATAAATCACACTAAGAATCTCTACAGTCACAGCAAGATTCTTCTCCTTTGCCACGCGCCACTTCACACCTCTTCTTCAGTAACATAAAAGAGAAAAAAGATTACCAACAAATTACATAAACCAGAAGTGCCAAATAACTACCCATCTCTCCCCATTTCCAAAATCCAGAAATTCTACTAATGTACTTAGTATTTAGCATGCAGATATGTGTCTGTGTGGGTGTGTCGGTGTGTGTTTGTGGGAAAGAGAGAAAGCAAAGCTGTGAAGAAAATGGACTACGTGGAATTTATTCATTTTTTTAATAGAAAAGCACTGATCGTTCCATCACAGAGGTATTTTCTTTTCCAGGCAAACATGAAGAAAGACAAGATGAACACGGGTTCATTTCCAGATGTTTCACAAGGAAATACACGTAAGTAGATGGTACAGCTCTCCGGGTGACCCTTACACGTGAAAAAGTGGTCAGCAGTGGGAAACACACTGTTTGCTTTCCTTTCCCTCTTTGTCTCTCCATGTATTCTCTGAATAAATATCTACTTGCAGTTTGGACTGGAGGATCTCTGTGGACCTCCAAGGGCCTTGAAATGTACTTCCCCAGCTGTGCACAGAAACAAGCCTTCAATCTTGGTCACTTTCCTCCTGAAGGGAGTGGCCCTTCAACCTTTTGCTTACCCTTTTCCAAACCTTCTTTCGCTTCCTATGTTTGTATAGTTCAGTGAGCAGAACGGTGCTCACTTAGTATATCAATCCCATATACAGTATTTTATAAAGGGATCATTATATTGACAGTTTTCTTTTTTCTTTCTTTCATCATGATTCCCAACAGGGGAACAAAACAGTACCAAACAGTTGCATCGTCCTTCCTAATACTTAAAATGTTGTACCTGCATTACATCAAGTGGAAATCTTTAGAGAGAAGGTGGGATATCAGTGGCCTTCCAGATCTCGTGGGACTCCAAGCCCCATCATCCCTGATCATGGGCTGGGGCAGAGCTGGAATCCAGCAGATTGCTAGAAGGCTGCACATATCTCTTCCTACTTTTCTCACTCTAAAGACCATCTCCCCTTGGCTTTGGCTGGAGGTGGGGGTGGGATGGGAGGATTGTTAATTTCCTTCTCACAGGAGCCTTCTCAACAACTTCCTTGAGCTCCTGAAACGGTATCTGCTATCCTTTGCCCCTCTGGCCTCAAAAGCCATTGCCAAGGACACTCACTCTGAGAGTTCAATGTACAGAAACCTTCAGGCACTTCCATTCAAGAAGGCTGGGAGGTATTTCTGGACCTCTGTGTGTCCTACAAGAGTGTACTTTGCAGTGTCGTTGAAACTTATGCAAAACTAATAGGAGGAGAGGAGCAGTAATTTTATTTTCCTATTGGAAAAAAATATCTTGCCTCATCCTTCTTCCTGGCTTCTCTTTAAAATAATAATAATAATAATAATAATAATAATAATAATTTGATTATATGTATATTATTATTAATACTAATACTAATAATAATATTTTGGGACCACAAAAGAGACAAAGTAATAGAGAATGAAGAAGCTAAAGTGCTCTGGGACTTTAGAATTCAGACAAGCACCTGCAAAACTACACCCCAGACTTAACAATTGTGGATAAGAAAGACAAAAAAGTCTGGATAGTGGACATTGC